GGGAAAATAAGAATGAGATAAGAGCGAAATATGCCCATTTGTTTAAATCGTTGTAATTCCGGGGACAAAATCCTCAAAATGAGGAGGTATTTGTAACATGCACGTTTAGTTATTGTGTTTTGTTTAAAATGAATACTATTTAATATATGATTTTGAGTGTTGAGTTCTAACAAGATAGTTTTATGAAGAATTAAAGTAAAACTATGTTTAGAATCATTCGGAAAGTATTGGAAGTCTTATGAGATTCCGATCAAAAGTCAACTATTGAAATTAACAGAAATATAAATTGGAAATAAATAAAAATAATATTATTGAAAGTTGTTGATTATCTCGTTAGAAACATTTAGGCGAAAACCTCATCAAATTCGAGTTATAACGAAGAAGTTAAGACCAATTGAAGTTTCGTGACAAAACCGGCAAAACACTATTTAGCATAAAAAGTGAGTTTTCAATAAACTACTTTTTAGCTGTAGTGATCTAAATGAAAGTCGTAGTATTCGTTAAACCAAGAATTTTTATAAAAAGAACGTCCAAATCTAACTTCGTATGAGGAAGTTATGATTTTTCTAAGTTTCAGTATAGCAGTATACAACTAAAAAACTCGAAATAAAGATCGAGTGAGTTTTAGCCGACATAACCTAAATGAGAATCGAATGTCTCGTCAATAGTAGTACAACGGTACAAGACAGACAAAAACGGACGTCGGATGAAGAAGTTATGAATTTTTAACGGATTTTCCTGTCCCGGTCTGTTAAAAATAATAATATTAAAAATAAAGTCAAAATTAGTCAACGAAGTCTAAACAAAAGTTGTAGAGTATAATTTCTCCTACGCGTGCATATAAAGAACGTCGAAATTATGAATATGCATGTAGCATGTTTTGGAGTAATATGATGTAGTCTTAGAGAGAGGTTCATTCAATTATTTGAACCAAAAATCTACCTAAGATCAAATAAGGCCATAACTGGATTACTTAACATGTTATGGACAATATGTAAGCTGAAGTGGAGAAGATGAAGTTTAATGTTATGATTTCGAAGTTTGTTTTCATTACCAGTTGTATGTATTTTCTTATTTACCGCTCTAATGGTAACTAATGGGTTGTTTGTTTAACACTTAATGAATCTTAAAAGAAGCCATATATGAATCTTCAAGATTCAGATTGTTTGTTTAGATCTTAATAAATGATCTTAAAAAGAAAAATACATCTTATTTGGTAAGATGTAAAAACACCTCTGAAAAAAAAGACGCTCTTCTCCCTCTTGCACTAACCTAACTCGTTCCTTTCTCTTTTGTAATATGAATGTTGTAGTTCATGGTTGCATTTTGGAGTCATTTCATTTTTTTATATCTAATGAAAAAAATTGATCCTTGAATGTTGTTAATGACTAAGTGTCAAAGGGCTTCTAGCCCAGCGGTATCCGGTGTTGTCCTCCCTCCTTGAGGTTGAGAGTTTAAGTCTCGTCATGGACATAGGTGGGTTTAAGGAGTAGGTTAAATTTTCCATTTCAAAAAAAATTGTCATTCTCTAATCTTATAGCAAAGCCTTACATATATACAGTGGTGGAGCTAAATGGGGTGTTGGAGGAGCTACATAGGACGTTGGGGGAACTACAGCATCCCCAAAAAAATTGTTGTGTGTGTGTGTGTGTGTATATATATATATAATTTGTAAACATGCTCTATGTTATTATATCTCTAATTAAAGAGATTATACCATGTTTTAAGTTCCGGACATTGACTTTAGCAGTTTTACTACTAAGGACACCCCCTAAATCCCAGAATACACTAGCGAGTTCCATTTTTAGTACAATTATTGAAGATATGGAAGTGAATTTCAACATGACGGCTCAGAATGTCGTTTTTCAGTGTTTACGTGCACTACATGCTCAAGATTTTCTTCTAACTATCCCTATAAATGGGCTTGGCCAACATATGTATCATGTGGAGTATCTTACCATCCTCAAATATCGACTCATGATTCCAATATTCCTTGGTGATGAGATACGTACAGTGTGCCGCAAGGCATGTTTGGACTCTTTTGGAGAGCATGCAGTTCATTGCAAAGAACTCTCGAGTTTCAAATATAGTCACGATATGGTTAAGGATGTTTTGTTCGACATATTTAAGCATGTCAGAGTTTTTGCCAAGAAAGAGGCTCTTGTGAATTTCTCGACTGAACCAATAGAAGGAAGGTCGACCCTTAGACCGGCTGACGTTCTGATTTTTCGATGGGTTGGAGGGAAATATGCATGTGTAGACCTTACATGGGTATCCTCTCTCGTAGGCTTAAGGGTCGGGGGTTTCACAACGGAACATGCTGCATTAAAAGCTGCTACATGCAAGGTCACCAAACATGAAAAACCGTGCATGGAAAATCAACACGTGTTCATACTATTTGTATTTGTTGTGTTGGATGTGGTAGAGCTTCTTAATAGAGTACAATAGATCATGCATAACAATAATATATATCCCCTAGATCTATGGATGTAGTATTCAAAAGAATTGACTTTACCATATAAAAAGGCTTAGCTGGCGCAACTTGTTACTCGTTTGCTTTCTCATTTGTTGTACGTTGATAACTAAGTTTTATAAAAAAAGCGATACGACCTTAATTTGATTATTAAATCCTTCAAATCTATGACTAATATATATATATATATATATATATATATATATATATATATATATATATATATATATATATATATATATATATATAGAGAGAGAGAGAGAGAGAGAGAGATCATGTAAGTTTAATACATTGTACTTACTAAAAACTAAATAATGAAAATAACACAAACAATACTTTGACATGCGAAATCAATTCACATAAAATCACAACCGGAGAACACCAAAATACCCGACATGATGCAATTGGATATAAAAAAGGCTATTGCTCGTGACAACAAAAAAGAAAGTATAATTAGAACACTAAAATGAACATCAAGATAATATCAAAATACAACATACTTTTTAATATAAGGTTATCGACATTAACCACAAAGCAATCAATAGTGTCGATGACATAAGACATACCATAGATTGCATTAGCTTTCCTCGTGTGTCCAATCACCTTTGATTTTCCAATGTGAGACCATTGTTATTACTGTTTGTTTACTAGCACACTTTACTTTACCACCAAATGATAATCGACACTAACTCTTGCAAATGCATCACAATATAGAAAAAAACTAAACGAATACCCGCACGTTGCACATAAACACCTATATAATTGAAGTATTTACAAATGTATGTTTTTTTTTTTTATAAATATAACAATAATTTGGTTGTTAAATTTGATATAATAATTCGTATACTAAATTGATATATATATATATATATATATATATATATATATTGATTATTTTTAATTATATGATAATATATACATTTATTATAATTGCATAATCTCAATTTTTAGAATGACTGTACCCGTGAGTTACACATGAATATAATTAAATATAATTGGTTTAATGTTATTGTTAATTAATTTTATAAAATTTATCAGCTTAATACTTTAATTTCTATCATTATAATTACTTAAAATACCAGACATTATTTTTTGATTTTAAAGGTAACAATATAATCATTTATATATAGAATTATTTTTAACTATTGTTATTATAAATTATTTTAAGCTATTTATTTGAAAACTTTTATTGATTATAAAATATATTTAGGAAATATTTTAGTTAAATTGAGATTACAATTTAGTTTTTTGCATTTATCACTATAATTTATCAATTTTAACTACTTACAAAATATTCTTTGGTTTTTTTAAGTGGAACTAAAATTTATATTTAAGTTGACATTGTAATGTTATATTTAAATTAACATTTTAAGTAGTTTGTTCAAACTGTTCAAAAATTGTAACTCTAAACTGATAATAGTTTCACACAACAACATATTAAATCTAATAAATTAAGTATAATATATTAAAAGTTAAAGACATAACTTTATAAGTTGAAGTAAATATATTATCTTAAAATTAAAATTTATTATATTTATGATTACATTTTAGGTTTGATACTTATTTAAATTTATTAACCAACTTATAATCATTATTAGCAAGCCACCACAATTAATCACTTTTAACTATTTACAAAATATTCTTTGGATTATTTAAGTTAATCTAAAATTTATATTTAAGTTGACCATGTAATGTTATATTCAAATTAATAATTGAAATATTTTATACAAATTGTTCCAAAATTGTATCTTTAAAATGATAATGATTTATATCCAATAATATATTAAAATTAATAAATTATGTTAAAAGTTAAAAAACATAACTTTATAAGTAGAAGTAAAGATATTATTTTAATATTAAAATTTAGTTTATATATGATTACACTTTAGATTTGATATTTTTTTAACCTTATTAACCAACTTATAATTATTATTAGAAAGAAATTGAAAAATCATGGGAGTTTCAAATAAATGTGGTGAAAGAAAAAAATGCATGAGAACTTTAAATGAATCTGTTGAAAAGAAAAATGTTTCCTTTATAATATAGTATGATATGATATAATATAGATAAATAGTCGAATAAGTTTGGGGATGCCAAATTTGATGTAAGCTTAAGTCTTAATAATTAACTTCAACTTGGGGTGGAGGTAATGGAGTGGCTAAATGAAAAGACGATGGGCGGTTATGTTATGTATCTCACAGTGATATTGATAACGCCTAACTTTCGTGTATGTAATGCAAAAATTTTTGAACTTTTTATATTATTGTGTCACCATGTAAAAAAAATATGCTACTATTATACTACACCTAATATGAAATCTTGAGTCCAACCAAAAGACCATTGTGCCCTCGTGTAGGAGGCACATGAGCTTACATGTTTGAACATGTGCAAACAAACGGAAATGGATGGAAGGACCATTAGTGAAAGCAACCAATACCATGGAGCTTGGATGGTTAGAAAAAAAAGTTTGGACTTAGAAGTGTAAAAATCATATAGACACAGGAACATTTATGTAATCTAGTCTAAAATTCACGTATATTTCTTGCATAAATTAAAAAAACATTACAATAAGACATATTAACCCAACAAACCGAGGTCTCCCATCCAACTGAACAAGCTCAGGAAGCACAGGCGAATAGTCAATTTAACCCTTTGAGATTAATCCTCTTGCTATTTATAGTTCCTCGCCGCGATAGAACACCATCTTTTCAACTCTCTCGACACGTATTAGGGTTTATTTCGGTTAAGGGGAAAACGACGAGAAAGACCCAAAAAAACCCATCGATTTCGTAGTACATACAAAAATTAGACGCAAATTGATCCCATTTGAGCTCTACATCTTCCAAATAAGGTAAGTTAAGCTCTTCGCATTACAAGTTTCTACAACTACAGTCATAGTTGCTGAAACCCATTACTTCGATCTACAATGAGATCAACCTCTATCTTATGCTAAGCTAAGGAAATAAGCACAAATTTTAGTATTTAGTGTGCAAATATGGAATCTGGTGTTGAATTGTATAAAATAGTGTAAAAAAATGGTTTCCGGGGGATGGAATTTTGGATGAGATTCGAAATTTAGTTAAGTTAGTGTTGTCCAGTTTGAAATCGGAGATTGCGTAAATGTATGTTGTTTTAGATATTGACAGCAAAAGAATATGATTTTGACTTTTCGCGATAAGTTGATAAATCATAAGATTCACAAATTGGTTGTTTCTGATATTTCTCTTTTGGGGTTGCTTTTTCCTTATTGGGAACTTCGAAAACTGTATCTTTTTAGTGTGACTTTGTGACTCATGAGGACATGAGTATTGTGTGTTTTGTTATAGTAGTTTCTCTTTTGGATAGGCACAAAGATTGATACAATAGTGCCCATTTTTGCTTTCTAACCTTATCCCAAAGGTTAAACTTTTGCAATTTGTACATTACATTAGCTGATTGCTTTTATTTTCCAAAATTTGAGATCTATGATATTCGCATACATGATATATATTTGATTCATTTACTCTGATCAATTTTATGTGTCTAGTCTTTTGATTTACGATTCTAAGCAATTTAAATGCTTGTTATCAATCCTCTTAAGAAGCTTGGCTTGTAAAGTTTCATTATAGTGGGGCCAACATATGAATATATCTTGTAATCAATTCATGTCCTATTATATTTAGCCAAGTGTAACTTTCTAACACTAATAACTTAGCTACATAGCTACAGATCCAAGAAAACGATGCATAAAGTATCGATGATAATACATTTAGTTTCTTCAGTAGTTACCGAAGAATTAGTGCATTGGTATGCACATACTGTATGAAACTATGAAAGCCAAATTATAATGATGTACATATTTGTTCTTGAATTTCATATTGAAGACCATTTACAATTCTTGCTATCAATTCGCAGGTGATAATGGTATATCCTCATACAAGACACTGATCAATGGATCCTGAAAGCAAGAATTTTGGTAGAGGTAATCTTGAAGATCAAATACTTTCTTTTTTGCCACTTCATATCCAGTTAAAATAATGTCACTAATTAATATTACATTGTGTTGTGTTGATAATCTAGGACCAAGGGAGCTCACTGGTGCAGTGGATCTTATAAGTTACTATAAATTGTTACCACATTATGAGTTCTTCTGCAAGAAGTCACTTCCTTTGTCAATTTCAGATACACATTACCTTCATGATGTTATTGGGGATACAGAGATTAGAAAAGGTGAAGGGATGCAGTTGGATCAACTCCTACAATACAACAATTCTTTTTCTAGAGATACAAACACACGCATACAACCATTTGACCTTGACCTCCTCAGGGAAGCCTTTCAGCTCAAGGAGACTGCACCTGTTGACCTTCCATCTGTAAGAAAGTTGACTTCTTTTTTTTTTTCTTCAATCAATACAGTTTTGTGGTATTTAATCTGAATGATTGTTTTGTAGTCTGAGAAGGGGATGCCTACTATACCTGGAAAATCTAAGAGTGAGGTAAAGGATAAAGAAAAGAAGCATAAGAAACACAAGGATAAAGATAAAGAGCACAAGAAACATAAACATAGACATAAAGATCGGAGTAAAGATAAAGACAAGGATAAAAAGAAGGATAAAAGTAGTCATCATGATTCTGGTGCTGAACACTCAAAGAAACACCATGACAAGGTTTGTTTCTTTTCTAGACTGAATAAATTGTCTGAATGACCATTTTACCCTTAACAAACAGTTTTAACATTAGGAAAAATGAATGGCAAATAAGTAAAGGGTTGGTGTCTTGATTCATTAAGACATGTGACAATATTTAATATGATGGGATTATTTTAAATTGGATTTAGAAAAGGAAGCATGATGGAAATGAAGATGTTAATGACATTCACAGGCAGAAGAAAAGTAAGGTAATTTGGAATGCACTTAAGATATGCTTTCATCAAAACATAGTTTTGTGTTTTTCTTTTGTTTTTGTGTTGATTTATTATGTAATTTTGCAGCATAAGAGCTCAAAGATTGATGAGATAGGGGGAATAAAGATAGCAGCTTGAAAATGGCATGTGGTGTATAGTGTTGTTTGTTCTCATATTGCAAATGGAAGCTAAAGGATTCCATACATACTGTAGTAAAAAAATTAACTGAGGTAACAAAGGTAGCATGTTTTATCTTTTACCATAAGAAGAAACCACTTGATTAACATTTAGAAATTAACTTTTAGTTTTCTTTTTCTGCAGAATAGCCACAGGATTAGTTAAAAGATGTCCAAGAAGGTGAATTCACCTTTTGCCATTGATTTATTATTCAAGGTAAAAAAAAAAAAAAAAAAAAAAGATGGAAAACAAACTTCTTTGTAGTATCCTTTGGTTTAGTTTAGTCATTAGTGACATGCATATTTGATATATCAATTCTAATCATTTTTAACAAACTTTTAAGTTGATGTGTGTAAGAGTTTTTTGACCTTGTAAATACTAGTGAGATTAGAAAAGATCAAATGAATATTTCTGTCACTAGTTTTTTTGGTTAAAACTCCATTGCAACATCTATATATTGATTAACCATAGTTGATTTTTAATCAAGTCTTTTAAATGTGTTTCTTTTTTTCTTATTTTTATATTTTACCATTTGACTTAACAAATATCCGTTTTCATGTTCAAATATTCCCTTTCATGTGTTCCTCTTTGGGATCCAAACCATATATTATATTATACTACCAACAAAAAAGGATATATTTTGTTCCTTTGACGCTTCGAAGTCTTGAAAAGAAACCCAAAATGGGGTCACTTTTGTCATTAATGATTCTTTTTTGTGTGGAACAATATGTACATATAGTACAAGTACTCGAAGTAGTCGTAATCACAAGGTTCAAAAGGGTATATAATTTTAAACCATAAATATTCCTCATTTTGATCAAAAACAAAAATACAAATGTTCTTTTGTTTAAACTTCAAAGTTCCGCATTTAGCAAGATTCAAGTTTAATTCTATGGAGGACACGTATGGTGAAAGTTTGAATTGTTCATGGAATCATGAGAACGTATATAATGATACTATGGCAATTTAAAATTTGCTTTTGAGAATTAAAAAAAAAGCTATATGATAATGAGTATATGAGTATGACCGTATGAGGCTTTTAAAACCTTAAATCATTCAGGCTATAATTACATGAAACGTCCATATGGTAATTACGTCCACTCTGCTAGTTGATTCTCTATCTTTTAATTTTCATTCAAACCGTTAGGTGTTATGTAATAATTGAACAAGGAAGATTATACATACTAATATGGAATGAAATGACCCTTTTGTATATAATTATAAATATTTAAAAATGATGGGAAATATACATAGAGGGGCAAGGCTAGTGTTGGCTCTATGAGGAAAACCTTGTAGTGATGGTTTTACGAGGAAAACCGGTTAGTTATGAATCCAGAAGGAAATTTAGAATGTGTGGACTCTACGAGGAAAGTTGGTTAACGTCGATCCTACGAGGAAAGTCAATTAACGTTGGTTCTACGAGGAAAGCAAGTCGAATGTTTTTTTAGACGACCAATTTGACACATGGTTCACCAAAGATGGGTGAATTGGAGTGATGTTGGCTTTACAAGGAAAGCTGGTGCAAACATCACGTGAGCTATGAGAGGTGTGTCACTGTTGAATTAGGCACTGTCTGTACTAATCCTTAATGAAAAAGTGGAATACTTGTATTACGCAACGTCGGAGTGGAACAACATGTCTTGGGTGAGAGTCATGCCTCACCTCTTGCCTCAGTCCGACCGGACAGGCTAGTAGTGAATTGGGTGGTCCTTTTGGTTGAGCGAGGTAGAAACTCAATTAACGATGTAGGGACCCGTGAGAGGTGAAAATTAATAATAGTAATTACAAAGAGCGAGAGTGTGTAATTATGGCGACGAACTATTATTAATAAGTAATTACAACAAGGTATGATGATAAGTAATTACAACGATGAATACTATTATTAAAACAATGAAAATTAAAATTGCAATTACAATGATCAATGGGGACAAATAGTTACAATCAAACGATAAAAAAACATATCAATATAACGATGAATGTTGATAGTATACAATGTTATGTGCTATGTAAAGTTGAAAACATGTTATGTGTTAGACAATTCGAATGATTGATCCGTTAGAGGAATTGTATGTTTTCACTTTGACATTGTACAACTGGTTGACTCACTAAGCACTGATTGACATTTATTTATGTTGTTGTTTGCCATGTTTTCCTTGTATTGGTTTGGGTTGTTTGATAGTGTGGTTTGGTGAGTTTGGGATTTTGGGTAGTTTGTCATTATGTTTAGTTGATACCACTTGGGATTTTCATGGTAGTCGCTTTTGGTAATTTGAATTATTAAACTAACATTTTCCATTTGGGGTTGTTTTTTAAAGTTAAGTAAATCGTTCTTGTTTTTGAAACATTTGATTAAAGACTTCCGTTGCATGTTTTATGTTAAATGGTATTTTAATAAAGAAATTTTTTATGATGAAACCACGACGTTACATAATTAGATCAAGATAACTAATACATTAGAAATCGATAAATAATAACTAATATTCATCGCACTCGATTGGAATCCACCATATTTGAAAGCGAAATCGAATTCTATATGAAAACATCTTTATCGCTTTTGTCTCTAAAATTATTCTCTCTTTTTGTGTTCGTTTTATTGACTTTAATTAAGTTTAGATAAAACCCTTCTTTTACTTTGTTGTTTATAATTTAATTAACATTTGAATTTATCTAAACTGAATCCATTCTCCCTAAGATTGACAATTGGTCTTATCAAAACTATTGTAACATCCCAAAATTCGAGGCTAAAAATTTCACTTTTGATTAGGTGATTTATAAAATGGTTCATCAAAACGTTGCCAAAATCATGTCAATACATAAAACCATAATATCATATCTCAAAACCAAATCATCTGAAATAACAAAATATCAGAGTACAATCCCAGAAAACTCTAAGTGGAAATCATAAGTGTGCGTGTGTGATGCGCTGCTACACCGCTGGTTCATTCCCCTTGGACGAAGAGGTACCTGAAACCAAAACTGAATCTGTAAGCACAAAGCTTAGTGAGTTCCCCCATCATACCACATACCATACAATTACATAACATACTGTAACACTAAATTTTTCAAACAAAATTTTCGATTTTTATAAAACATAATTCCATCAATATTCATAGAAACACCCCTTTTAATTGTTCAACAAAATAGTACGAAATCCCAAGATCAAAATGTCAAGCTCCAAACGTGTGTGTACGGATCAAGCCGGCGCCTTTCCACGGTCGTCACTAGTACCTGAAACAAATAACATCAACACTGTAAGCACAAGGCTTAGTGAGTTTCCCAAAATACTACATATAACACATATTAGCCACTCGAGGCTATAACTCTGTGGGTCCGTGCACCCAAACTCCATGAACCCTCAGGTTCTAACTCTGTGAACCTTCCGGTTCTAACTCTGTAAACATGCACAGCATCAAACACATAAAAGTAATGCAGTACAACACATAACATACATAGCATACAAATACTCTATCACATAACTCTGGTTACCTACTCAAGGTAAAGTATAGTGAGAAGACTCACCTCGCGTGTCTCGGTAAACCGTAACCCTGAAATCGCTAAACACTCGATCTGCCGAGCTGAAGTCCCCCTATAGCACAATATATCTCTAATTAACACTTTCCCAACTAGGGTTGACCATACCATAACAAGACAATCTAGGTCAACGCTGGTCAACGGTCAACTTGACCGGACTCGGCGAGTGCACTATAGCGACTCGGCGAGTCTGAGCGCATTCACCAATTTCCCTGGAATCCTCTCTTGACACGTCGAGCATCCCCTCCCAACTCGACGAGCTCCACCTGGCACGAGTTGTGGGGCCACCACGACTCAACTCGCCGAGTCTCAAGAACAACTCGGCGAGTCCGGTTTGACTCGGTCCACCTGTCCATCCTGACTCCCCCTTGACCCACTGAGTTCACTCATCCCAACTCGGCGAGGCCACTCGCTGAGTGGTCGTGCAACATTCAAGCTACTCGCCGAGTCTGTTCTTCGGACTCGGCGAGTCCGTGCCATGCACTGACTCAATCTTGCTCTAAAGGCCAGATCCAGTCCACTAATCCATAGATCCAGTCCCCCCATGCTTATTTAGCACGTAAAGTCACAATCTTGATGCATAAATAACCTCTACATGATCACAAATGATGTTTTTGACTCTACTACTTCAACACAAGGCCAAGGACTCCATTTCCACCCATAAAGCTTGATGAGTGAGGCCCTCTGGACCTCTATGGATCCAGATCCATGGTCTCAACTCAAAGAGGGAACCAAAGGGCACCAAATCACCCCATAAATGATCATATTAAGCCCTAACTTGCATCAAGTTTCACCAAACAGAAAATGGTCCGAAAATAATACCTCTAGAGTGATGATCCAAGCTCCAAATCCACGAAATAGCAACCTCCTTTGCTTCCTCTTGCCTAGGGCCTCCTTCTTCTTGCTAAACAACACACACAAGATCAAGATTGGCTCTCTTTCCTTCACAAAACGCTCAAGAACTCTAGGGACACTCTCTGGGGGTTGGGTGAGCGCAAATGACGGCCATAAGGCCCCTTAAATAGGCCACAAACCCGGAGATTTAGGGTTTCATAACACAGCGCAGACTCGCCGAGTCCATACCCTGGACTCGCCGAGTCCAAGTGCGCACCCTCGATCAATCCCGCGTCCCTACTCGGCGAGTCTGAGCCCCAACTCGCCGAGTCCCTCTCACAAAATAACACAATTAAACTTACATTATACCTGGTAAAAATCCGGACGTTACAACTCTCCCCCACTAGAACTGGACTTCGCCCTCGAAGTCCCGCTCTAAAACAGCTCCGGATGCTGCTCACGCATCATACCCTCCGGCTCCCAGGTCATCTCTGATCCCTTCCGATGTTGCCACTGAACCAATACCAGAGGTACCTCCTTGTTCCTCAAAACCTTGATCTTCCGATCCCTAATAGCCACTGGTCTCTCCGCATAATTCAGGCTCGCATCAACCTGAATATCCTCAAGTGGAACCACTGCCGACTCATCGGCTATACATTTCCTCAACTGCGATACATGAAAAGTGTTGTGAATCTGTCCCAACTCTGCTGGTAACTCCAGCCGATAGGCTACCCGGCCTACCCTGGCGATCACACGAAACGGGCCAATAAACCGGGGTCCCAATTTGCCCCTCTTCCTGAACCGGATCACTCCTTTCCAAGGAGAGACCTTCAGGAGAACAAAGTCGCCGACCTGAAATTCCAGCTCGGACCGGCGTCTATCCGCGTAACTCTTCTGTCGGCTCTGA